TGACTAGTGTAAGGTAACAATACAAACGACAGAGAGCCAACAGTAAACTGATGGGTATTTAGCTTTATGTTTGCTGTGGTGGCATGACATCTTCTCAAACGAATATGCAAATCAAGGAATATAATTAAAGCAAATGAATAAAAGTCACCTGACTTTGTATTATTTAAAAACAAATTAATGAATCAATGTAGCAACACTTAGTTAGGAATTTGAACAAACTCAAAGTCTAAAAATGTTTAGTGGAGTGGTGTGCTTTTACTTTTCAAAGCAAATAATGCATGTTGCCCTGTCCAGACTGAAACAACAAGATAATTAGGTTGGAACAGCTTTCATTATTGCGGCTACTTTTCTGTCGAATCAGCCCCCTGTGGTATGAGGATGTGGGATGGTTTGTCTTGATTGTCTGATTGTGTCAGCACAGTTGAAATGCCACTTTAAATTTGAAGGCTTTTATTTCACAATCCACATTCACTCTGGGCCGCAATAAGCCCTGTAAACCATCCCAAAAACCATGCCTTCAAACTTAAGTATATGTTTCTGTCCTGTGCAAATGGCCAATGAGACGTGGTTAGAGTTACCAAACATTTAGCTGCATTTGGATGAAGATAACGTATGAGAACTACATACACAGCCCATTGTCTCCTCAGAAGCAACACAACATTGCAATTATAATTCAAGCACCTGTGATTAAAAAAATTAAAGGAACAGTTTACCTAAAAAATTTAAATTCTGTTAGAATTTACTCCCCAAAACCTAAAAAAAAAAAAAAATACTGGGTTAAAAACAACCCAATTTGGGTCATTTTGTCAACCCAGCACTGGTTAAAAAGGGATGTACCCAGTGCTGAGTTGTTTTGTTTTTTATGTTTTAAAATGACAAAAAAAATGAACCCAAAATGAGTTGGAAATAAAAACCAGAAATCTTCAAGTGGCACAGCAACATCTGGTCATTATACGGTTGGTCGCTTAGATCAATTTCTTATCAGCATCTGTCATGTGATTCCACTAAGACATTACACACTCATCCGTTTCTTCTCAAATCTGAAGACAAGTTGGATTCTTCTTCTATTCTCTACAGATTTTTTGTTGTTGTTGCTTTCTACACAAATGAAGACCATACAATTTAAATATTAGCTGTTTAAAAGACACCCCACTACTTATAAATTATGTCTGTATTGTGGCCTATACTTTGGTGGATAAACCAAGGCCAGCTGTGCCCCCTTAATCTACTGAACTGTACAACAACTGTTCATCTCCACCCAAGATTATCCAGCAGAGCAATAGTGCCCATGTTGACCCACCATGGCCATGACTATCTGATGGTCAATCCACTGCTGTCCTATAAAGATGGATTTATAAAAAACAGCCAATTACACAAACTTAAAGCTGCAGTCTGTGACTTTTTTGGGTTAAAAATGATCCCAAATAATTTTTTGAGCAAGTACATAACCAGCCAGTGTTCAAAACAATCTGCTTTGCCTTTGCTCGATTCAAAACGGTAAGCTTGTAATAATGTTCTTAACTACAGTGGTAGTGGTGGATTTCCAAGTGAGATTCGAGCATGTCTTTGCGTCAATATGTCACATCTGTACGCATAAAAAAGGAGTCTCGACTAGTAGGCTATATTGTGTGTGAGGATGGGGGAGATTTATAGCCTTTTCTTACAGGACTTGATATAATTAAACATCAATTTGATGGTGGATCCAGAAAGGTTCAAACTATATAACTAAATAACCAGTGACAACAGATTCATCTGCTGTAAAATGCAAAAGACTTCGGAGTGGCTCCAGACCCGGACCTATGCGAAAACAAGGATAAATATCGGAAGGGCATTAAATGTAGTCACACAATGCTGATGTTGTTGACATTAACAATTTGAGAACAAAGTAAAATTTGCATGGTTTGACGTGATATGATAAGCAACAAAAGTAGATGTTGCTTGTTCAGATGACATTTTCTGGTGAAAATGTCTCATGTAAATGAATTCTCATCCAAAGGCGTCATCTAACTGATCATTTTGACCATACAGTACTTCAATATCTGACACTTTAGGCACCCCGTAGCGTCAGGTACATGGTGCGATCCTAGGGCCTCATCTAACTGTCACTAAAGGTAAAGCGTCAGTTAAATGACGCGGTTAGGTTTAGGTCTGGGGTAGGGTTAGACGCGTCATCTAACTGACGCTTTACCTTTAGTGTCAGTTACATGACGCCCAAGGATCACGTCATGTAACTGACGCTAAAGGGTGCCTAAAGCGTCAAAAATGCTTCCCATGTTAGATGACGCCTTGGGATGAGAATGGGCTGCTTATGTCAGTCATACTTCCAAAAAGTAGAATCTGTGACTCTAAATGCCAGTATCCACATCAGCGCAGTGACTGACAGCCGAGGCACAACCCACATAAAATGTATAATTCAGCAAACAACTGCAATTGCAGATTTCGAACAGAGATGGCGACAAAGAGGAAAAACTACGGACTGCAGCTTTAACCTTGAAATCAATACAGCTTTTTTAGCACTCGATGGCTCGAAAAAACCCATACAAACTACAAATGTGTTCAATCACAATATAGAGGGACAAAGTCTGAGTGTGTGTCAGAACAGGGAACACTTGAACTGATCACGATAAAATAAAGTGACATTCATTCAGATGATTAGCAGTACAAAATGTCTAGTTCTTCACATGGACAATTTAGCCTGATGAGAAAAGTGACCTCAAGTCTGGCTGTTTATGTTTCCTCTTATTTTATTTCGGCAGCAGTTGAAAGCCTTAGGAGAGGCAACTGTATAAGCTGATTTCCTCTGCGGTTGTGCAAGAGCTTGGTTTAAACTGGGACAGCGGCGCTGCTTAATTCTACTTCAGAGCTGGATTAGCGTGTGTCATTACAATGATGCCACTGTAAGATTACCTGGGTTTATGAAGACCAGCATTAACTAAAAAATGGGCATTTACTGTACATGCAAGGATTAGAAAACTACTTCACATGAAATGGCGAAATGCAGACAGATAGTTTATTGTGTTAAAAGCGTTAGGCCTACTGTACATACTCGAAAGAAAGAAATAGAAAGAAAGGAAGAAAGATTGCACCATTTTGTTGTTTTCAGCCCATTCCTAGATGGATTTGCTGAAAGCCTCTTGTTTTGGCCAAGCAGACGGATTGTGTGCTGAATACTGATCTTAAGGAATGAACGCTTACAGCAATGCTCACAAAAAGGACATTGATTTACTAAATGGCAAATGACAGCATTGAGAATTCAGCACAGACTAGAGTAAATTATCTTTACTTACAAGTCTCATCAGCCAATAAATAGATGGACATGGCCTGGTTTACAAGCTGCCTCATCTTCCTGTTTTGATACAGCTTTTAAATGCTCACATTTTATTAGGGGACTAACATAATTGTCTCAGGCTTTGTTTAACAGATAGACAGCCCTGTGTCATACACCACGCTTGACTTAAATTTTGGATCATAATATCTCAGTCATAGCCTACAATAAGGCTGTATAACATGTTTGTTTATGCATTTGCGATTATATATAGAACATTAATCCTGTTTTTACCTTTTCAGGTAACCTAATTATCTCTACTGGCTTAACGACAAAAACATTTAGCAGTGAATTCCTTCCTGTTGAAGTAATGAAGAAAATAATATATAAGGATAGGGGCATTTCAGACCCAAGCTTAAGCAGTATTCATTTCTATTTTTAAACTCTTAAGAAGGACTGTGATGGTTTTAAGATGACAGGTGGACATGTTTATATTGCTGCTGAGTTACATCACTTTATGGGAGTCTTATCCCCAACACCCGGGCGGCTTGCCGTTGGATCTGCAAAATGTTCCTTTTAATCTGTAGGTTAAATAATTAATAATTTACTGTATATTTCACATCAAAGGTGATTAAACAAATTAAATGTATAAATATGCATATATAAATCATTACATTTTATTTTTTTTACATATACATATCAAAATTGAATAACACTATTTTAAGGTTACATACATGTAGGCTACTTACAAAAGTAATAACATAAATAATGCATAATTACAAGCAACTGACCCTAAACCAAACCTTAACCCTCTCTTTAAATACATGTATAGTTAATTAATACTCAGTTGAGTAAGTACAATGTAACTAGGCAATGTCACCTTAAAATAAAGCGTGTACTAAAATTGTAAAAACTGAAATAGACTCTGAAGGTAATAAGTGCACAATTACAATTTTACCTGACCCTTAAAAATGACTTCAATTGAAATCTAATGCAGTAAAGTTGATTCAGTCATATTAAATAATATTTATGACTTTTAAAAGCTTTAAAAAATAGATTTTTACTACATTCTTAATGTTACCTAACATTGAATCAATGTAATTGTAGATAGATGACTAAATACTGATTAATACATAAATAAAACTGAAATCAGCTGCTCTGAGGAACACTATAGGGAAAAACACATTTATGACTTATAAAACCATTAATTTAGATATGACCACAGCATGAAATACTCTTAAAAGACTGCATGTGAAGAAAATGCGTCAAAATATAAATTGCTGTTGTGTAAAGTTACATTTTGACTCTATACTTATTAGGTCTAATTATTTCTTAACACGTCATTATTGATATTTTTTATAATAATATATAATATATTTTTAGAATAATTTATAATAATATATAACTAAAAGGCAACTGACAGCATTGAGAATTCAGCGCACACTACAGTAAATTATCTTTACTTACAAGTCTCATCAGCCAATAAATAGATGAACATGGCCTGGTATACAAGCTGCCTCATCTTCCTGTTTTGATACAGCTCACATTTTATTAGGGGACTAACACAATTGTCTCAGGCTTTCTCAGGCAAATAATGTGTTACACAAACGTAAAAAAATTATAGCAAAATATTACACATTCCTTCAGTACAGTAAGTCCCCCTCTCTCTTTCCAGTGACATCACTGTGGTGTCCATAGGTGGAGCTGTCGAGGACAAAGAGAGGGACCACACAGCCTCAAGTTCTCCAGAGCTCACTCACACAACTCCACGAAAGACACACATGACGGCAGGAGATCAACCCATACGAAACGATCATGATGTTGATGCCACCGTCACAGACTTACATGCTGCTCTAGAAAGTACATTTCTCAGATCTGTCTTCGTGGCCACTGAGATAAAGCCATTGGATGATAATCTGCGTGGATCTGGAGGACACTGAATGGGAGTAAATAGAAAAGAGGCGTAAGAAACAAACGGGGGAGCGACTCTTTCAGCAGCGCCCGTGCTTTTCTTTGAGAGTAACGTTAACGTTTCGAGTCCGCACCAGGATTCTGTTTCGTTGGTTGTACATTGAGCACATTGTGCACGGAAGGATCTGGATTTAGCGGTGGGAGAGTCGGGAAGCTCAGTTTTATTGAGCCATGAAGAAGAACAGTTCAACAAAGCGGGTAAGACATCGAGTTCACTCTATTGTCAGTGAGGAGCGCCGTGAGCCTTTGTGCACTAGTGTGAAACACTGCAGCACGAACACTTCAGTTTACTAAAACACAACGTTTAAAACACTTTCCAACATAGCACATATCATTTATTCTGGTTGTTGAGCATTTTAAAGTCGACATGATGTTCTTCTGCACGCCCTTTTTGGAAGTTGTTGACCAGGCTTATTATGATAGTGAAAAGAATACGTGTTTTTATTTTTATTTTTTGGAATATCAATATTATTAACAAATCATCCAATTCTAAAAAAACCTAAAGAAAATTCCCAAATGCTAATTCTCTTCTGGGTTTTAGATCTACAAACTGAACACTTAACATGCACTATTAATGAGTCGATTAAATTACTGTCCAAAACGACCAAAAAGCATAATAAATGACGCATCCAATATTTCCAGACTAGAATAGGGCATGTTTCATCTGAAGTCGCTGCAGTGATCATACTATCCATACTATTAATGGGATTAAAACACATTTTAGGCTTAATATTAAGAAATGTGCATTGTGAAAAAAAATAAGTACTCAAAATAGAATTTATTTATAATATTAATATCACTAAGTCTCAAGTGATGCGTCAGTAATTTTATGTTAATGGTTTTGTACTAATTATATGAAATAAATATACATTTTGGTAAATGCTGAAGAGCATTTAAACATACTTTTTCAGAATAAAGGCATAACCAGATTATAGATGTTATGTTTGTTTTTGCACTCTTTGAGTTTAACCCAACAAACAAAAGCTTTTTCTCTCCACTATTTTGCATGCACACAGCCTTTTAATCTCATCATACTCAGTTCAGATGGCAAGATCCCAACTCAGGCAAAATACTGAGGGAACACTGGTGTGTGTATGTGCTTGTGCTGTGTGAGAAAAGTGAGTAAGCGCCAGGAATGTGATATGATCTACATGACAAAGACAATGTCTTTAAGAAAGTCTCCCCCTTTCTAGAGAATATGGCAGTCTCAAAAACGTGCGTACTGCCTTCCTAGACGGCATAATGCGCATCATAGATTTATGAAGGCCCAAAAATGCTTTGAAACACTGACAATTAGACTATAACTCACTGGCTTGCTTCTGTGTTCTCTCTGCAAACGCAGGGCTCTCAGGATGCCAATCAACAGCCCGTGCAGCCTGACAAAACTGGCTGGATTCGCAAGTTCTGTGGCAAAGGAATTTTCAGGGAAATTTGGAAAAACAGATTTGTTTTACTGAAAGGAGACCAACTCTACATTTCTGAAAAAGAGGTAAGTTTTGGACAAAACCTTTTTCCTGTTCATGCTTTTCTCCACATCAGCATCATTTGACTGATGAGATGCTACTTGTGTAACATTTTTACTATGATATTCAGTACTGCTTTCAGTATAGTGTGTGAGAAAGTGTGTAAAATGTGTTCCAGTTGCTTGGAGGCATGGACGAGTTACATGACATGCCCTCATCCTCGAAAACCATGAACAAAACTACACAACGTAAAAGAAAATATGATCCAGACTACAATATAAGGGTATACTTCCAATGCAGAAAAACATGGTTTGTACTGACCACGATATATTAAAATTCAGGAGACAAGAAGAAACCCATCACTCAATGGCACACCCATGGTACACCATGGCAATAATGCTAATAATAAATGTTATCGATTTCCTATTAATGATGAAAGTAGGCAGATTACATAACTTTGAGTTCATGTATAGCGGGTTTGCGATCATTCATTTTTAAAACTAGAGAGAGTCAGTTTGATCCAAGTCAAACTGCATGAGGTTTATCTACTATCTTTAGCATAACATATGCAGAGGTAAAAAAATCATATAATGATGAATGTTCTGGTGATGGTATGTTTTGACATGCAGGAAGTTACTAGCTATTGTAATGAAATCATATGACTTCCTCCTGTTGTTCCTCACATGAAATAAATAGATAGTTCAGCCAAAAAAAAAAAAAAAAAGTTCGGTCATCATTTGCTCAAGTCTTTCGAAACCCGTATGGCTTTCTTTCTTCATTGGAAATGAGAAGTTTAGCAAAATGGAAGAAATTCGACCCAACAATAGCAGCAGTTTGAAATTTTCACATTATAAAAAAAAAAAAAAAAAAAAAAAAACTCCACAGAAGGAAAAAGTCATACAGATTTGGAAAGACATGAGGGAGAGTAAATGATAGAATTGTGATTGTTGGGTGAACTATCCTTTAATATCATGCTCTGTTCAGGTCAGCCCACATCCAATTGCAGACATTACTCTGGAATTAGAGCCGGTTATGTCGAAAGCCCAAGCATGACAATATAAACATGGTAACATTCAATTAGCAGACTGTTATTTCCAAATTCCAAGCAACACATACTGTCAGCATGTTAGAGGTTTAACAAGTTCAGTAAGCATGAAGGAACAGGAAAATAAAGGGCCTTTATTCTGGAGCGAGGCTGATATACTGCAGTGTGGGAGGACGAAGGGAAGGAAAGCAGGATTGAGGTTGAGTCATGGTCACGCAGAAGACTGTTTGCTGTGCTCAGCATCAGATCAAACAATGCCGAGGCAGCATATGGGCTGTGGCTCACAGCTCAGAGGGAGGATTGACCCTTTTAGTGCTTAACAGACTGAGGTTTCATCATGCTGTCGTCTAGATGTTTCTCTCCAGCTGTCTAGACAGACAACAGATTTGAATGATCTGATGCTGTTGTTTTTGGTATCATGTTTGGCATTCAAGATAAATGCCAAAATGATTCCCATATTTATATGGTCATTTGAATATCCCAGCTTGAGGAGTTGAATATATTTCTAAAACATATACCATCAGGTATCTGGGCTTATTCTATACAAAATATTATTTTTGACTTTTTTTATACTGTCTCCTAGGTGCTAAACTTACAGTACAGTTCCCCCAAAATTGAAAATGCTGTCTTCATTATTTACTCACCTTCATTTCATTCCAAATGCATATGACTTTTTCTTCTGCAGAAATTGTAAAGAATAGTTTAGAACAATAGTTCTGTCATGACAACTCTCGGAGTGTGTGGAATGGTAATGGGTATGACATTGCTGATATGTTTGGTCACTGAAAACACTGCTGCTTTTGGTCATTGGTGCTGATGCAGAGCAAGTACAGAACGTAAGACTTAAGTACCATAAAAAGTACCATACAAATATCAGAAAAGGATTGATTGTAAAATTAATTTTCAAAAATCTATCATGGAAACTAGTTTTTGCCAAAATACCACAGTTAGCTACAACAAAGTTGTGGAAACTTAATACTACTTTCCTCAGCAAAAAATAAACTAAACTGACAGAAAGATTCTGAAATTGCCCCTATTACTATAGGGGTAATTACAGTAGTAACAGTAACCATCTTACATTTAGGGTACGTTTACGCGACAACAATATGCTTAAAATGGATACGTTTTTCCTTTGAGTTTTACAGATGAAACCATTGTCAAAACAATCCCTATTATCACGGATCCGCGAAAACGGCTAAAAACGCTGTTTTGTGCTGCCAGGCCATTAGGTGCGATGAAACAATCAAGAAAAATATTAATGACACAGTTATAATGGCCTCATGACAGCCAATGTCAAAACCAACCACCGACAGTTAACTTAATTTAATGTCAAGTTGTCATGACATAAACCAATACATAACCTGTCAGGGTTAATGTCAAGGTGTCATAACAAAGACAATGTCATATTTGCATTCAAAATGTCATTATTGAGCGAATGACACTTAATGACAATTGTCATAAACTTGCATAAACCCTTTCATATTCATGACATATGTCATGTCATGGTTATGAAGGTGTCATGCCAGTCTTATGCACACCCCTTCAAGTAAAGTGTTACCGTGTTTTCTATATGAGGGCATTATAGAAGCTCATCTGCTTTGCTTAAGTGCATCACATATAACTTATATGTCTTTTAATGAATTATTTACTGATATAATTTGATTTAGGCAATTTTAAAAACCCTTTTTAAATAGGTAAACTTTACAATTTATAGAAGTGGCTGTTTATAATAAACTTACACAAGTGAGCAGAGAAATCTACACAAGTATCCTACTCTTACCTGACACTGATTCAACTCACTTAAGTCAATTTAATGTAATTTAAGTTAAAAATACTTAAACATCCATGTTGAATGTACTTAAAACATCTTTAAAAAAAGACAGCAACTTTTTTTTACAGTGTACCAGGTATGAATTTAAGTTAAATTGCTATGAAAAGTATAAGCACACCTCTCCTCAACAAACTGCACAATTTGAGGTTTCCGCAAAGAAATCCCTAAACCTATAGGTATGAGAAATTGTAATAGCAAGCACCACTGGCCATTCATTGTATGGGATTCTGCTTAAATCAAATTGACATATTTCAGTCAGATGATGGTAGACTGAAGGGTGGCATTAAGCTGAGAATGTGTCCTGCAAAACTCTCCCAGAACAGATGTCCATGCGAGTGTTGTTTGGGGTCAGATTTCTTATGTGGCAGATGTAGGCCGAGTTCACAGATACTAGGAGAGATTTGTCCCACTCACCCTGGACAGCCAATCAACACAAACTCTGATTTTGCAGTTTCAATAAAGCACAATTTCATGTCTCTGTAAAAATGTTTCTTCCGATTACCCTAAATGGCATCAACCAGAGCTTCAACACAAAAAAAGAAAAAGATAAGAGCTGCCTGTGTCTTCTGTTCGCCATCTCAAGCTCAAATAAGGAAGTTATATTGCTCTTCTGCTTTTTGGAGTCATATGTATAGATGATAGACGTGGGTATAGTGGTCACAACCTATTCTGGACTTGACACTTCCTCTTTCACAACGTTCTTTCCCCTTTTGCTTTCCTTAAAAGACGCCACTGAAACTGCATTGAAATCATAGCCCTTCCATTTAGGTGATTCACATTCAGTATCCACCCTAAACAGATCATGTTATATTGCATTTACAGTTTGATTGAATTCGTTCTTGCATCCAATTTATCTTAATTTAGTTTACTTGTCATTTACATATGTATTGCTTTTCCTAATAAATAGATCTGCAGATGGGCTGCATTGTTCTAGCGCTATGAATTGATGTAAATAGGAAACGTCATGAAATGATGAGATCATGCCGTGCATTAGTAAAAGTAACATGTCTAATGTCATACGTGTGTAAATACTCAAAGAAAGATGTGTGAAGTTTTCCTTTTACGATTGCGGTCAGTCATCGTTCTCTAAGGTAATGGGGTGCAGTTGTTCAGCTACATTAACACAAGAGGAGTCGCAAATGAAATCGAAGGATGAATCATTTCACACGTCAGGGCCTGGCACGGCTCTGACTCACTTACTGGAAAGTGAGATCGTTGGAGGTTGTCATGCCCTGTATAGTCATCAAAGCATTTCTTCTCTGTCTGTTTTTTTTTTCTAGGTGGTTTCTTTAAGGGATCTTGGTCAGATGATTATCACTGCAATTGCAAGTTGTTTTTCTGTTGCTGTAAAATTCCTGTTTTCTGGCTGGTTTTATCTTGGAACAACAGTGTTGCTAAATAGCATCAGGTGGACGTTCAAAATCAGAAGCTTGTTGGACTGAAATTAAAAACTCTACAACAGTGGTTCTCAACTTATGGGTCATGAGCCCAAAATCTGTTGTGATCAGAATAAAAACTAAATGTTTAGGAAAAAATAAACACCTCATAGCCGACTCGTAGCAGAATGATCCTTTACGTTTCCAGTCTTTGGTGTTTCTAGTCAAATTGCCGTATTTTCCGAGCTGAATGCAACGTTAAACCTATGAAAATGGTTTTTAAAACCACATGGCTCCATAGTGTCATGACTTTACTTTTGAGTTTTGTCAGTGCCTCACCCGTCAAAGTTTAATGACTGTGTAGATTACATGAAGCTGCCAAAGTGAACGGGCGTATCCTACATACAGATCCTGTTCAGGGGGTTTTGTCTTTAAAATGATAAGAGCGCACCTTCCATCCAGGTACTAACCAGGCTCAACCCTGCTTAGCTTCAGTGGGCAACCAGTTAGGGCTAAAGGGTGATATGGCTGCTGGCATATAGGTTTCAAAAGGGGTGTTTTGCATAGAAGTACATTTTTGGTTCCCCAAAGAACCATGTTTTTCTTAGTGTGAAGAACTTTTGAATAATCTAAAGAACCCTTTCCCACTACAAAAAACCTTTTGTGCATTGGGAATGTTCCTATGGATGTTAAAGGTTCTTCATGAAAGCATCTATGGCAATAAAGAACCTTTATTTTAAAGAGTGTAAACAATTTTGTGATGGGTCGCAACTTGTGAAGCAAAACTAGTTGAAAACTTTGCTAGAAGTCAGAGAAAAAAATCTTCATGCTATATTTAGTTTGCTTAGTTTAGTTAGTTTGCAGTGCTGATGTCAACTTGAAGCTTCCCCTTCTCTCACCTGACTGAGCCAACATGCTGAATTTAACCCTTTGAGATCTTGCCAGCAGTTTTTATATCACATAAAGCAGGATTGGCTGTATCATTCACATAGTTCTACTTAAACACTTTGCAATGAATTTTTCATGTGTGGGCCGTCGGGACATATTGCCAGGGAGTATTCATTTCAAATTCCTCTTCAGGGTATTTGGCTTCTGTTATACACCCTCTCATCTGCAATGTTTTGTGACCCTAATGGACGTTCATGAAAGGTTAGAACGGTTAATGGAGAAAGTAAATGGCTAAATTCAATTCAGACAGTCCTTTGAATGACATGAAATATGAGATGACTGTTTGTCTCTGAATTGTCCACCTGCCCTCAAATCGAAACGAAAGGACACCTGTACAGGAAATGCTCTATTATACAGTTTATTTGTTGAATAACATGACTATGAATACACACTGGAAATGATGCTGGGTAGGGTTGCACCAGCCGTTCGTAAATTCGTTCTTAAATTGAAACTTAACATCTACTCTAGAGGCTTAGTAATTAATAGCTAGTTTGTAACTAACTCTGTACTTTATTCCGTTGCACCATTTGTTCCTAAGGCCGTGTGTCCACCAAAGCGTTTTTTGCTAGCTGAAAACGCTAGACGCTCTGCTGAAGATGCCATGCTTTGGCCATGTGTCCACTAAAGCCTTTTTCCACGCGCATGGCGTATGTTTTCAATTGTTTTCAATGGGAGCGCCGTGGTTTTTAAACACCATGAGCGTAACGAGGTGCTGAGCGTAACGAGGTGCTGATACTCCCAGCGTTTTTACTGGTCGCTGGGAGTTGAAAAATGTTTCAACTTTGGATAAAACGCAGTGCTCACCACTGTCACTTTTTACCCAGCCGTGGTTTACATCACAGTGGTGGAGGGGCGGGACTAAACCGCACTGACCAACTGTCACAACAATCAAACTGCTGCGGATATTCTGTATCATAGCAACGAAACATCTCAACGGAAAAAACGCTGCGCTGCCAAAACGCTCTCAAGCGCCCAAAGGCTGTGTGTCCACCAAAGCGTTTTTAGCCAGCTGAAAACGCTAGACGCTCTGCTGAAGACGCCGTGCTTTGGGCGCTTGAGAGCGTTTTGGCAGCGCAGCGTTTTTTCCGTTGAGACGTTTCGTTGCTATGTGATGAGCACTGCGTTTTATCCAAAGTTGAACATTTTTCAACTCCCAGCGACCAGTAAAAACGCTCAGCGCCTCGTTACGCTCATGGCGTTTAAAAAATGCGGCGCTCTCATTGAAAACATACACCATGCGCGTGGAAAAACGCTTTGGTGGACACGCGGCCTAAGGCAGAACATAGCCAGTAGGTTACAGAAATTGGGTTGAAATGCCGTGAATTTCAGTTTATCCTTCATTCTAACTTATTTTGCCTCACGTTTCTAACGGTAAAAATAGGTTTCCATTAATATGATACTTGATCATTTAACATTTTTTCTAATATCTAAGTTAAGTACTAACTTTCTGCCAAAATAATTTTGACTCCCCCTTCATTTAAAAAAAGAATAAGTTAATAAGTCTTTTCTTGATATAATCAATTTTCTTCCTGCATTGTTTTCATGTTTCTCGTTTTTCTGTAACATCACTCAAAACACAAATTTTATTTACAGCTCCAGACAGCTTTAGTTACACAACAGCAACTGGATTACAGAGTACATTTCAGACAGCCCGAGCCTGGCAAGACTACTTATTTTTCCTCCCTCCGTTCTCTGTATAGGTCAACGGATTTTCTCGAACTGTCTTTTACTTGTTTAAGATGCAACTTTTTGCCTATCACACTCTGTGTCTCCTCTGCAAAGGGATGCATCTTTTTAAAAAGCGTAATGCGCACAGCATTAAATATAGATGAATTACAAATAAAATGGTCACTGCCATGGTTTCAAATGCCATAAAGTCCAAATAGGCCATAAAGACATGGTGTTAGATTCATATACAATCACTGAATTAGACTCAGGAGAGCTGTGCCTAGAGCAAAACAACCTAAGTACTATTCTAGTTCACATTCATTCAATGAATTTGACCACTGTTGTTTCAGTAGGATCTCGGATTACATACTTTTACTGAGCCAGATGTGTTGTCACTTTGTGAAATAAATGTACTTTAACGTGGTAATGTGGTATCACATTTTTATTTAAACTTTTTCTTTTCTAGACCTCCTTTTAATTCACTATATAGTGCATCAGAAGTCACAACAGCAAACTGCAGAATAATCTCGGATCTAGTTGTATTTAAAAGTTTTCAAATGTCCGTCATTGAGTGCAAATGTACTGTGCCCCGACTGTCCTCTCCTGGAAAAAAAGGATTGGATCAGATTGCTAGTTAATTGCTGCCTTTGTACCGCTTGAACAGTAGATGTATTATTTGTACAGCCATTCCCTGTCGTGACACCCCATAGTGCACTGGGTGTGATGCCAATACTCTTAAGTACTGCACTGTAGAGCGGCTCTGTAGTACAGCACACTACCAGATGTGGCCTTGCGTGGACAGAGCTTTATTTGTCTTTAGAAGAGCACTAATGGAAATTGATTGTGACTTAATGAGATCGTTTGGCAGGTGATGTCAAATCAGACCATGGTGTTCAGTGTATCTGGGTTAAAAAGTTCTTCTAGGCTTAATGATGTTTTCGAGCTACGTTTTGACGTCTGTCCCAGTTAAAAGTCAGATTGGTCATCGAGATGTCCTTAACTTTTGTGGCTGCACCAACACTGAGCTCAATCATTGCATACTTTTAAAATGCTGTGCCATTTTTTAAAGTAACTTAAGCTGTAAATACTGTAGGGATTGACAAAATAACAATCAGTACATTTTGAGTAATGATGCACCAAAGTGACAATTCTTTTTTGAAACAAGATATCTGGACATCCAGAGCCAAAACCAAAAGTAAAATGGTCATTTTAAAATTGCCTTTGTTAGCAAATTATATTTATATTTTAATTAGTTATTATTTATATTAATATTTATTATTTATATGTATAATTATAACAATGCTATTATTATTATTTTAAAATTAAAAAATATAATTTTTTAAATAATATAGTATTATTAATTTATTATTACAAATTAAAAACAATATTAATTAATAAAAAGGTTTTTAGTCATTACATGAAACATTAAAACTACTAAAATGGCTTTTATAACGAGGGTTCTTTTAATTTACTTCAGAACAAATACTTAAATATTGAGATATTATTTGTATCGAATATACATTAAAGCACAATATTGACACCCAATCTGTGATTTATTCCACAGGTCAAAGATGAGAAGAAAATCCAGGAGGTGGTGGATCTCACCGACTACGAGAAGTCTGAGGAACTTCGCAAGGCCAAAAGCAGGAGCAAGAAGAACCACAGCAAGTTCACGCTTCTGCGCTCACGGCAGCCAGGCAACACGGTCAGTCACTACAGGAAGTTGGGTTTGGGAAGAAGGTTGGGTCAGTAGAGGATAATAGCTAATGGGTTTAGCCCAGTCAGGGATGGTTTATTAGTCAGTTTGCAGTCATGAAAAGCAATCACCTGTTGCCCAATTCAAAAACGCGTCTCTGCATTCACACATAAGGAGAATATCAGAGACTAAAATAGGTCCTCTTAACTGCTTTTTCAGCCATACAGACAGTATTCTAATTGCTTCTGTAATTATATGAATAGGACAGTTCAAGAGAAGAGTCACACCTATTTGTAAATGCGGTTATAAGTACCAAACACTGACTTTTGTTAATGCAGCCATTCAGCCTCAAGTCTATAACATGTTGATGTTAGTCTACGAAAAAATATTAGACAATAAATCATACTCCAGCATGTTTGTCTCAACCTGCACAAACTTGTACCGACCTCTGGAGTCATCCTATCTGGTGTAATTGGCTTTCAGTAAGAACGGCTCAGCTTATTGCTTTCACTAGCAAACCACAGGCCACCACAAATATCCTTTATCCTATAGACCAACACGAATAGTACATCTTACCAATTGAGTTAAAGCTCCAGGTTTCTTAAAGGTGAAGTGTGTCTATTTATCCATCAATCCATCCATCTTGATTTTAATTTAACCTATTCTAAAAAATACATTTTATCAGTAAAAGGAAGTTTCTTTAAGAAGTCTGCTTTAGGTATTGATTGTTGAATTTGTTTTCTGCCAGTCTAGACTGCAGCACATTTGCAGGATTTCTGACTGCTAGGAGAAACATACTGTAAGGGGTTACGTCTGACCAATCCTTTAAAATCCAGCACAGAGACAAAGGGTTAATCCCTCGGAAAAAAACATGGAGGGTCTTAGGAAAATCCAGCAGCACCCAACCTCCCAAACACACCCCTTCACACACAGAAACACACCACTACATGGTTAAGAAGTCCTTCTGCCCCACATACAACAGCTGTTCCATATGCAGCTCAACAGGGGAGACACCCTACTACATAACCTCGTGAAAATCATCATCTTTCTGATTTTTTTTCTCTCGCCTGCCTTTTTTTGCTTCCACGAGTAAGATTTAGCACCTAATTTTAATTATTACCAAAGAAAGCCTTACAGGAAGATTATTCTTTGTGCACTTATACAGTTAGTATAATGCACATTGTCGCATTATATTATATATAGCTAGTTGTAGTTACAATTATTTAAAATGACTTTTTATGCACCCTCCCTGACATCAAGCTGAATTAACCGAGCTATTTTTGCTGCTGTAAGCATTCACCTAGCAACCATCCAAAACCCCCATGAAACCACTTAGCAACAGACTGCAATATTTTGAACACCTTAACCCTAAAACTGTATTATGGACAAATGTGGGCAAAATAGTTTTGATTTATTTTTAAAAAATACTTCCCTTGATCTGAGCGGTACAAGACTTCCTAAGTTTTCCTCCTGAACACACACAATTCCTTAATTGAACACAAAAAACTCCTTAATTTGGGCCAAAAATGGCATAGAAATGAATGGGAAAAACTGTAATTTAGAGCATTCTAAAATAAGCCAAAAAAAGACACCAGGTGACAGCAAAGTCACTTCATCTTTACGTTTTAGCTCTAAGAACTTATTGGAATGATATTTAGTGTAGTTAATTTTTTTTAAAAATAAAACATAAAAATAAGCATCATTTACATAGAAACTATGGTACTTTTTGAAGTAAATAAATTCAAAAATACCCCCAAAAATAAAATAAAAAACACCATAAATGGATAGTCAAAACTTTATCAAAGACAGTGATATAACATTTATAATAAATAAAAAGTCCTCTGTGCCCACAATTACAGGATTAAGGGCTATAAAGTGAATACGGTTTGAGGGCTACAAACAACATAACAATGCACAATATTTTGAACACCTTCAAAAATTCACATAACAATGCCTGAGTAACCAACCATCTACATAGTGACAGCAAGTTTTGCACTGGAAAAGTACCAATGTAAACCAATCTTGTAAACAAAGGATTAATCTGCTCACCTTCACCCAAACAGTCTATTAATGCTGAACTAAAACTCTAAGAAGTAACATTCCACCTACATGTCAACAATCTCTTATTAGAGTCAACAGAATGTCTAAAGGGGATCATCAAAATAAAGTGTAACAGATGTCTCTTAGGCTCACTAAGGCTGCACTAGTTCAGCAATCAGCGATATTTTCAATGATATGTCTTTTTAATTGCCAAAGTGTTGTGTCAACAACAGTACAAATATGTAGCATTGGAGAATAGCAGAGTCTTATCTACACAGCTGCAGCATCAACAGAAGGGCCGCCTGTCTGCCACGGCTCCAGCAGACTGTGTTGGGAAGACTTGCAGTGTTGTTGCCTAATATGGTGGTTTCTGCCTCACACTGTTGCTGCATCAGCTGTCCATAGACAGAGCCATATGGCTGTACCTGCTCATTTATGCTTGGCTCACTATATGTTTGTGTCCACCTAGCACAAGACTGAAGGAATTTTCACAATGTTTGTAGGCGTAAAATGAAAAGCCAGCAGAGTTCAGGGCAACACTGGTCATACATCAAACTGTTACTGCAACTGTATGTTTGTATTAGGATAAATTATCCCCTCAACAAAGACACGCTTTAAAGTATTTTTCATCCTCTAAATGCAGGTTCCAAATCTGGTGTTTTTGGCCGTCAGTCCAGAAGAGAAGGAGTCATGGATCAATGCTTTAAATGCAGCGATCACCAGGGCCAAGAATCGCATATTGGATGAGGTAAGCAAGACAATCTTATGTTTTTACATATAACAGTGCTGCTGGTTTAAAAAAGCTTGCCTGCATTAAAAAAAAAAAAAAAAAAGATACACCGCCAGTATTTTTTGATCATTTTCACAAAACTTTCATGGCCCCCACAATATTTTGTTGAATAAATAGCTTAGCATGCATTATAATCAAATACTTTTATTCTAGATTTATGTATTCTTTATTTATCAACAGTTGAATGTAGGTTTCTTAAAAAAAGCTACATTTTTAACAAAAAAGCTGATTTTTTCAGCTATAGCAAAGACTACAGCATTCATAAACAATGCTTTTATCATTTGTTTCTGCTTCTTTTTCACATGCGTTTTTGATCTGGAGATTCTTTACTCTTGTAGAAGTTGTGTAATAGCGCCATCTACCACAAAGCTAGAAAATTACATTAATGGCAGGAATTAGGAAAAGTTAAGCATTTTCAACTAGAGCGAAAGTTAGTAATGCATTGATGCATAGCTACTTCCATTAATTACGTTTCTTGACATAGATTAAGGATGTGAACAAGCTCCTAAACAAGCTTTTTTACTTGGGTCAGTGACCATTCACCTAGCAACCACCCAAAACACCCTAGCAACAACACAGCAACCCAAATAATGCAAGGCAACCATCCACAACACCCTAGCAGTGATTTATATGGGCAAGCACCGCTCTGTAGTTTCTTCAATTTAAAAAAAACCCAAAAAACATGGATTCAGATTGTCATTCACAGGTCCTTGGAGAATCCACTTTAATAAAAACTTTTAAATTGCAAAGTTTCCTGCCCTCTCATTCCCTGATCTTTTCACAGTTTGTTTGCAAAAGGGATTTGCTCAATTTAAAAGCAGGTCTATAATCACGCTCGACACACAGCGGGAGAAAATGAATCACTCCACCAAAAATAGACGGCAGTCACGACTTCCAGCGTTAAAGCAGCCAAATCAGAGCCTAACTTCACCTTCAGTTCCCGCCAATGAACGAGATTTAATCTGGCCTAACCATCCAGATCTTCCAGATCAACACTTGACATGTCATGGGGACCCATTCATTGCTTAGGACCATAAACATACACACAGATAAAGATGCCTTACTCTGTGACACAGTCAATGTTCTAGAGATTCATTTAAATAATTCAGAGAGAGCGTGTGCTTTCCATTTCACAAGCAATTGTGGTGTGATTCATACCCAACATCTAGTTGAGTTAAACAGACAAGGTCTCCTATACCACTCAACAGGAGAGGAACCAGTGAGTCAGCAGCACACGATACCAGCCGGTTATGTTGAGAGTGCTTCTGTTGAACCTTACTCATAACTAGACTGTTCTTACGGACAGAACGGTACCGAATCACATTGTTCTTTTTACAGTTGTCAGTCACGATACCAACATACATCAATTAAAGGGATAGTTTACCCAAAAATGAATATTCTGTCATTAATTACTCGCCCACATCATTCCAAACCAGTAAGACCATTGAAACACAAATGAAGATCTAATAGCTTTCTGTCCCTCAGTTGGCAGCTATGCAACTAACCTACCACTTTGACTTTGAAAGTTCATAAAGAGATAGTAAAACTAATCCATATGAATCTAGCGGTTTGTCCAAATTTTCTGAAGAGACTCGTTCACTTTATATTCTGAACAGATTTAATTTAGGATCAGCGAACATAAACAGAAGCTCAAACGAATCTGCTTGACGCACCAGCACAAATTTGGTCTTTGCAGAAGCTCAAACGATTGGACTAAACACTCAATTGATACGGTTTAGCTTTACGACGCTAAACGAATGAATTTTTTAAAGCATCAAATTGGTAGTTGCATATCTGTCAATGGAGTGTCAGAAAAGTCTCAGATTTCATGAAAAATATCTTTATGTGTTCTGAAGATGAACAAATTCTTACGGGTTTGGGCAACATGAGGGTGAGTAAAGACAGAATTTTCATTTTTGAGCAAACTATTCCTTTAAAAAAACAGAAGAAAAACAATAAAAAGATTGATTTTTTCCTCAAGGCTGGATATCTATTCAGTCAATTCGATTCCAATTGACAAGCTTTCGATTCTATTTGATTTTTATGTGTTTTGATAATAATTCATTTGTGATTATTTCACTTATAATGTCAATAGACATACATCGATTATTTGTGGTCGTGGAACTCACAGCTTGATGCATCACTGACAGTTGTTTTCTCGACATCAGACGTATTCTTTTTCTGATATGGATGGTTTGGTTTTTCTAATTTCAGTATATCAATGCACTGCTTATCCGTTGCCAAGCACTGCTGCAAGTGTGGGAAATGTGTAGGCAGGTTTAGTGCCCTAGCCACAAACAACGCCATGCACAAATATATACTAGATTTGATATATTCCTAAGCTTAACTTTGCGAAACTCAACACCACAAGTAGGTTATGGGTTGGGTACATGAAGCAGTCACCATGCTGTTGCTAGATGAAGAAACAAGATGCTAGATGCTAAGAAACAAAGGTAATCTTCTAAACAAATATTTTGTTTCGTTGTGTACTACCCTTTCATTGTTCCATAAAGCCTGACCAAACACGGTGAGATTAGATATACACTCCATTGGCCAACACACACAAGCTCAGAACACAAAGTCTTGGTTGTTAACATTGTCGTAAATAACAGACTTGTGTTGACACGTTTGATGCATGTTGTTATTTTTCAGTGTAACAAATTCTCAGATTATTCTCTCTAGCTTGTACAAGCATTTTGCCCAGAACTCAAACATTCATCTACTCTTCCCAATTGGTCATGTGTCATTATTTGTACATCACAAACAAATAATAAACAGACTGATTGAATGTCCGGTCAATATACTGTCCCCCGCCCCCTCCTGCAGGCTGGCGTAAAACATGTAGCTGCTGATAGATTTATTCAGTTGGGCTTTATCGCAGTGGTTTTTGTCTGACCCCTTTAGGTGACGGTGGAAGAGGACAGCTTGTTGGCCCATCCGACGCGTGACAGAGCTAAGATACCTCACACACGCCGTCTGCCCACCCGCGGGCACCTCATGGCTGTGGTAAGAAGTCCATTCGCTTTGAATATCACCTCATTAAATATGAACAGCCTACTGGGAAAAGGCTATAATGATACATATAATAGTAACTTTTTTTTCTTCAGCTTTTTTTCTTTATACCATCAGTTTTAAGACAATTTAGAGCCCAACTGTACAGATTTTTTTCTGATTTCCAGGTCAGGCCAGTGGTTCAGATTTCTACTTGGCCTGCCATCGTTTTCACTAGCCCCAATAAGTCTTTATTTTTAGAAAATCAGATTTTTTACAATATACATTGGATTTTTATTTCAAAATGCTTGTATACATTTATTATAATATATATATATATTATAAAATATATTTCATTTTCTAAAATCTCCCCACCCTTTTCAGGCTTCTACCACAAACTCGGACGGCATGCTGACACTTGACCTCATCCAGGAAGAAGACGTCCTAGCAGAGCAGGGTCAGGACTCTCTTGAGAATACCCTCGATAAAGCCGCTTCTCAGCACACCCTAGATTCCCAGCGCTCCAACCCAGACACCTTGAAGCTCTCAACATGTAACGAGACCCCCGGAAAGTCCCAGAGTCTGCCGCGGAAAAGCGAGAGCGCCTTTGACTGGTCGGAAAACCATCGGACGCCGCAACTCCGCAAAAAAACGGCTCCGTCCGAGAAGAACCGCTGTGCTTCCATGGACGAGATCCTCACGCACTGCGAGACGCGGGCCCTTCCACACTGCTCGACTTCAGCGCCAGTGCAGCCCATCAGCCAGCTCCAGGACCTCATCACCCAGAAGCTGGAGAGAACTCAAGAACTGCTGACAGAGGTGCGGGCACAGGGCAAGGGGAAGGGATCGCCGGCTGGAAAGAGCTCCAGCCCAGAGGTTCAACGGATAGAGGCGGAGCGGCTTCTGGAGGAAGCAGCGTCCACTTGGGGTCAGGCTCGTGACGTACTGGAAGAAGTGAAAGAACTCCGAGCTTTATACAAGCATCTTGACTCCGCCCCGCTCAGTCCTTCACAGAACGGCAAACTAAACAGCCCTCAAGCAAACCACCGGAAAAGCATGATGTGAGGTTTAATGGCGTCGTTTTTCAATGGACTCTTCCTGTTGACTGCTTTAGTATGGCTGGAATCTAATAACATGAGCTGTACGTCTATGTATGAATTGTTAAAGAGCTTCCACTCCCTAATATCAGCGTCAGAGCAAAAGTACAAGGGACCGACCGGTGGTTTTACCAAACACAAGCTGTTGTGCTATACCCTGCAGTGATGTCAACAGGGATAGAAAAACCACGGAATCACCAAGCGATCCCAAGACACCAGATGGCGGTGATGTCGTTGTCATCACTAGCCTATCACAATGTGAATGTTACACTGGAGGAGCTTCGTTTCAAAATGCTCACTAACCCCCAGGTCTATTTTACTCCCTGGGTCATTTTTGTATGTAATAATAATAATAATTCCCAGCATACTTGCTCTGCTATTAACACAATCCATGCTCATAATAAGATGCAATCAGGGTGCAGCCAAAGGCGATTGGCGGAAAGCTCACGGATAGTGGAACCTGCGCTGTGTCCGGCGGTGCTCTGTATCCCATCAGATGGGCTCCAATTGTGAACAAAGCCATGAACATGAACACAGATGACGTCTGGTGCCAGAGTTTCTGCGGAAAGTGGAGGAAGAAAAAGCTGCCATTAAAGACGAGACTCCATGCAGTAAAGGAAACGATTAATAATAATGACACATTTGCACTATGGAGAATGCTGTAAAACGAGAGTGACACTGGCAAGCTATCTTTTCAAACCTAAGAGGCAGAACAGACAATCTACTGTAGGCAGGGAAATATGGGTCGTGCAGAGCCAAGTCTTTACACCTAAGTGGTATTTCCGAAAACGTTGGTATCTTTCAAAATCAAAAGCTGCCTTAGCGTATTTTCATAAGGGCACATGCATTTCAGAGACTCTGAACGCTTATATATTTGAATTTTCGAAAAGTTCGCCAACAAGTTGCCTGCACCTCAAGAGAAGCTTTTAAAGCATGATTTTATTTTGCTTTGCTTTTTGTCTTTGGGGAACTATGCAAGGTTGCATGGGTGAATCTCACGAAACCAGTCAAGAATTTCTCTATTTTGTTTTATACAAAAAACATTTTTGTTTTAAATTTTTTGTTGGAATATGTTCATAATTGGCATTGAGACAAAAAGTATTTTAATAAATAATGGTCTTATGCATTGTCTATTTTGGCTTAAAATGTGACTTGGGCATGTTTCATGAGATTCCCCTACAAATAAGCTTGAAATAATCCACTGGTATCAGGATTTACTGGCAGTGTGCAGTACGGTATTGCGTTAAAAGACCAAAGGGTATGTCTTGCCAGTAGAAAACACCTTGTTTTACAGTTAGTAGCTAAATAAATGTGTTTGCACAATTCTATAGGTACAGGTCAACCTGTTCTGTTACGAAGACTTGATTATAAACAGTGTTATATTTTTTTGTACATTTTATTGTAAAGTGCTTTTTTGTAGGGAAAGACTTTGAGGAGAGTTTTTGCTTTTAAAATGCTTGATTTCAAAAAAACAAAAAAAACAAAAAATACCTTCCCTGAAAACGAAACTCAACTGGACATTCCGCGCTTCTGGAATCTTGTCATAAAAAAAACAAAACAACTGTAAATCTCCATTTCCAAAGGTAATAAAAGCACAAAGCCTACGGCAGTCCTTAGCTTTTTTTTAAAGAAAAGTACAGGTGAATGACTCAAAAGTTTTATTCACTACCCATCACATTTTAAGTTCTATTGATCATATTATCGCCACACAGATGCCAAAGGTTTTCTGTACCTCATACACTCGTATCTCGAACAGAGTTATGTGGAGTGATCTTTTCAGGTTTAATCAGATGAACTGGTTTTGTTTGGTCAGCTGGCTGTGTTATGATCTGATTTTTCTGACAGTGCCAGCGGAAGGTGAATCTAATTAACAGAGCATCTGTCAGGTAGCCAGGGCTCATATTAGATTACATCAAAACCAATCCCGACAGCTTTCCTATATCCCATAGATCAGATTGCAAAGGATAACAGAAACCCAGCCAAATTGCTCCTGTACTTTGATAGTCATACATTCAATTTTGCATTTATGACACGTTTACTTTATGTTGACATCATAAACCATGTGACTGCCTAGAGCTGATGTTTCCTTCATGCTTTTTTGAACTATTTATGTATGCCATAACATTGTTCATCTGTTGTCCCTGCTATTCTGAATTTCTGCAGACCTTTGATAAAATGTGAATGTGAGTGAAGAGGAAAACCTCTCATTTGGTTCTTGACTGTGTTATTGTGGTCAGGCTAGTAATTTTGCATAGGGATGTTGAATTTGTGTAAGCTAGTCTGCGTCAGTGCTAGACTGCCACTGGAAAAAGGACTTATGCAATCAGAGAGGAAAGGACAATCGATTTTACCTACTTCAAATGACAGACTCTGGCTATTTTAAGGTTCGAAATGCACATTTATACAGAAGAACATCTGAATGTTTTTGGAATTTTTTTCAATTCCATCATCCTCACAAACACAATCTCTCAGATGGACAATTCATTACAAGCTGCTGGTAAACAACTCAGATACTCAGTTGTCTTTTCTGCTCTAGTCTAATCACATTTATATGGAAAAGTGTAAATCTCTGTGTACATTATTTCACATTTCTGTAGCTAATTGTAAATGGGGGTCGGGTCGGTTTGCTGTGTGAAGAGAGAGCAGAACCCTGTGGGTGTTTGTAAGCTCAGGACCGGCGAATCTCTGATGTACTTGAGACACAACCACTTGTGCAATTAAAAGTGATCCTCATTTAACATCCCTGAATTCTGAGTGTTCATATCATAACAAAATTGGTCTCAAACCGAAAGTTTATCCGTGTCGCGTCCATTGCTGGATGTCTGAGAGGTCTGTTATTACACCTTACGAGCGGCCTCTAGAGACGAGATAAAAACTCACTGACGCCTCGTGGAGTTTGTTTTGACACGAGGCTAGTGACATGAGTAAGCAAATTGTATCCTCGCTCGTGAAACATAAAACATACAATACACATATGTGTCTAATTTCAATTCTGTTGCCTTTGTGTAGTTATTTAAAGATGGCCATCTTTAAGCATGACTTTTTGGATTTATATAAAATGGTAACGCTTTACAATAAGAGTCCATTTGTAACATTAACTAGGTTGATAATCGTTTGTTAATTTCAAAATTTACTAATGCATTTTTACATTTTAAATCTGTATTTCTTAACATGAATGAATGCACAATGAACTAACATTAATGATCAAGGTAAAATTAATATATACTTTTTATATTTTAAAAGGACAGTACATTTTCATGGTTCAGTGCTTTTATTTTTTTTTTTTCAATTTTTTGTAATAAAGTTCAGCTCTATTTTACATGTTATGTTTGGTTTCATTGAGTATCCATCCAGTTTAAAAACTATTTATTAATCAGTTATCAGACCAACCTAGTTATCGGTAAAATCCATCAGAAATGGGTGAAAAATCTCAAAATGGCCACATACAGTATCTACCAATTAATTGGCCTGGCTGTCACACTATAAGCAATAAATTCACTCCAAATGCATATTTTTAAATCCATAAATATATTCTCAATAGACTATTTTTGTATTCAAGTCAACATAGAAATGACCTAAACATTTCAAATTATATTTATATTAAATTAAACTTTAATTGAATATGAATTTATGTGTGGTTTACACATTTACACTGAAATAAATTAGGGCTGTCAAACGATTAATCGCATCCAAAACAAAAGTTTGTGTTTACATAATATATGTGGGTGCACGGTGTATAATTATTTTGTATATATATAAATACACACACATGCATGTATATTTAAGAAAAAATATTATTTATATATAAAATATTTATATAATATAAATTATATATAAATCTATATATATAGTATATACATGAAAATATTTCTTAAATATATACAAGCATGTGTGTGTATTTATATATATATAAAATAAGTGTACACCGTGCACCCACATATATTATGTAAACACAAACTTTTATTTTGGATGCGATTAATCATTTGACAGCCCTAAAATAAATCAATTGGTGAAAATACACTGTACTGAGGGAGCTGTAAGAACACAACAAAACTCAGCAGGTGCTGCGTGTGCCAAACCGCATGTGGCCTGAAACGTAAGCTGTCTGACTGACAGGAGAAGCCACTGATTGGCTATGAGCCAAGTAGGATGTGTTGCCATGGCAGTGTAGAAACGTTTCACCTGGTTAGCACTGTCAAGAGGTGTCAATTCCTCACACCCCGAACAGAAATGAGAAGGTGTTACCGGGATCTTCCTAATCAGCCAGTCTGAAGCTGAAGGATGAGCCCCAGGAGGAGTGCTTCATCTCAGACCGGGGTTATTAACTAAATCCATACATAATAGACTTTAACTGAAAAAGCTTAGTTAACTCGTTATTTTATTTCAACTATAGTTGTCAAAACAAGATTTTTCTATTCCATTTAGTTTAATTTTATGAACATTACTAAAAGAACTAAAACTGAAATTAACATTTAAAAACTAATAAAAACGATAAAACAACAACATTTCTAAACCTCATTTAAACCTGTAATAGTATATCTAATATTAAAATATCATGCTGATGCAATTTGATGATTCCAAATAGGTTTGTGAAAGCAGTTTACAGATCTAAAATTAAAAAAAATTAAAATATGGTAGCTGCTAGTTTCTCCTTAGCTAGTTATGAGTTGCTCCAATAGCTTGTTGACCATCAAACATGTTCCAAAAATCAGCTTGGACCTGCTAATGAGCTTCTCAGACCAGCTAGAAAACAGCTAACATGTTCTAAAACACAGCAAGCAATGCAAATAAGCACTTTGAATCTGGCAAGAAGGGTTTCCATGGCGACTTCCACGGGAAGGGATACATTGGTGGTACCAAGCAATAATTAATCGCAAGGGTCCACTGGGGCTGAACCCCACAGCTGTTGACTCTGAGCTTGTCCATATGTTTCCATACACTACAGGGGGCTTTGGAGGAAAATCAACACAGAAAGAGGAAGATAATGTCAACGTAATTTTTAATGCTTTTTTGTCCACATTAGAGGTCTTTTTATAATTATATAATCTATAATCTAAATTATTTCTGACCCTACCTCTCCCTGCATCCCAATGTGCATAATATTCAAATAGTATGTGAGATTAGAATAACTGTGTCCTATTTATGGTCAGAACTACAAACACAAATCAATAACGTTTAAAAAAACTACAAACATGGCGGATGCGCGCAAATGAGGGCTAAGTAGAGACTAGAGAGGTTAGATAATAGGGTTTAGGTATTTACATTTAACCTGATAAAATATTTATTTAATCTTAACCGTGTTAAAATTCATCCTCAACAACGTGAACTTTTATTCAGATCCGTTTGACCACTAACTTGATGACCTTTTTGAAAAAACTTTTTCTTCACAAAAAGAGTACATACTTTTATGGCATAGGCTAAGTAGGCTCTGTTACGGTGAGCACCACTTGCACTAATGACCTGATGGTGGTAATGAGCAGTGTTGAGGCTGAGGGTAACGCATATAAGTAACTTAAGTTACATAATCTCATTTTTTGACCTCTACTGTAAAAGCATGAATTTACATTTAGCCTACCTCAGTCTGAGAATTATTTATTACACTTTTGATGTCAAATGACCTTTAGAACTTTTTTCTTTCTGTTATTAAAAAACAAATAAGCATGCAAATTCTTTTGTGAGAAAAGGTAACATAGACATTAATTTCCATAAAAAGTCACTAAGTAATACAATTAGATACTTTTTAAGGGAGTAACACATATTGTGACAAATTGCTTTTAAAAGTAACTTTCCCCAACACTGGTGGTGACACTAGGATATCATATGCTTCATGATTTTCATACTTGTTTACTATTTTAAGACATGTTTATCTTTAATAGTACACCATCAAATGCTTTTGAGAGATGTTATGAATACATTGACTGACATTCCCAACAGACATTCCTAAACATCAATTGCCACTTGGACTGTGATGGATGTAAGCTACAGAGAAAAAATAATATTAGCTAAAGTCAAAAACAAGTAGGCCTATGACAGCTAGCAGAGTTACTGCAACACACGACTTCATAATTGTAAAAAATATGCAATATTAAAAATAACCAGATATAATTTGACCAAATTAGTATTTTAAATATCGCAATAAAATTAAAACCCGGAAAATAAACAACATCACCGATGACTTAGTTACCTCAATAGCACGGCATGCACTGTTAGCGTTTTAACTTTCATCAGTCTCTTCTGGCTGGGAAATGTTTTACCTGTGGTAACTACTGCACGTGCTTGCAGCTGCTGTAGGATATTTTTGGCTAATTTGTCTGAAGTGAACCTGAAATCAGAAATGAATCAGAACGTGAACCAAATTCGTTAAAGCAGTCGACTCGTAAAAATGAATCATTCTAGAATCTATTCAGATCATTTTGTTAAATGATGCAATTGACTCGCAAAAGTGATTCATTCATTCGTTTGATAACGCGAAACGAACGATTCACAATTCAACTGATGCAAACGATTCATTGATATCGACTCGTATTCTGCGACTGAACAGTCTACAAATATATTTGTAGTAGTACCATCCTGCCCAATACTGCACCTGGGTTTTGAATATTTAACAACGCATTTCTCAAATAT